TGCAGCAGCAGTCTATTCTCAGCTTACGTCCATGTATTGAGCTGGTCCATCCATGAACCAAGGTTAGCTATTTTTCCTTCCATCTACTTGTCATAAAGTACCCTTGCCCCCATGGCAGATTAAAGATGCATACAAACTCTGACAATCCTCCCATCAGGAGGGATGTCTATTTTCCCTCTCCTTGAATCTGGGCTGCTTTACAACTGTTTTGACCAAAAGAGAGCAGCAGAAGTGACATTGTGCCAGCTCTGGGGCTAGCTCATAAAAAAATGTTCATCCTTGTTCCCTTGGAGTCATGAGTTTCTGTGTTAAATTTTGACTACCATGCCGAGAGACCAAGTGGAAAGCCCTGAGATAGCATGAGGAGAAAGAGAGTCAAGATGAGCCCAAACTTACCATGAACCCACCAAAGTGGCAGGCATATGAGTGAAGTTGTCTTGGACCCTCCAGACCGGTCCATCTGCCACCTGAATATCTCCAAGTGATCCTAGCTGATGCAACATGAAACAGAGGCATCTCCCAGTCAATCTCTTCCTGAATTCTTGAACAGTAACATTGTGAAATACAATGAAGTTGAGACACAATTAAGCCACCAAGTTTGGGGATATTTTGTTACGCAGCAATAGATAACTGAAATACCTCTATGAGTCACAGTGTGAGCATGGGGACATATACTGTGGCCAAAGTGTGGAGGACATAGAGATCTGATCCACCTACTTATGTACCCTGCTTCTGTCTTCCAGTTCTGTCCATGCTTGATCCAGAATGTACTATTTTTGTTTTATAATTGATGATGCTGTAACCACCTAACATTCTCACCTGATTGGTTTGACAGAAACCAGCTCATGATGGGCGTTTCTAGCCTCATGACCAGTTGATGTCTCATGCCTAGAACTCTGTTATCAGTAAAGCACAGCAGCAGGCCAGCAGCATAGCAGAGCCTTGATCGAGAACCACAGTGGTCTATGTTGTGATTCTCCGTGGAGGCTGACTAAAAATATCACACTGCATCTTTTCCCACCATTCATATCTTTGGTGCCTGAGGGTTTTGTCAGATGGTCAAAGCAGCAGGGCTGGTACAACAACCTAGAACAGCTGCAACAGCCGTTTTCTGCTCTGGGGTCCAGTCAGTCACTGGTACATGGCTCCACAAGTATCACCGGAGTGTGGAACAGGTTGCCTCTAGAACCTAAAGGGAACAACCAGGCATTAGCAGTGTTACCATCAGTTAATGGTGTTAAATGTGAGTGCAATAATTTGTTCTTACTTTTAGAGGGAAGTCTGGGCATTTGAGGACCCTGAATCTTCATAGGATTTATCTCCTACTCTCGAGCACATTTGTCTTACGCATGCCACCAACATACCTACCCTTCTGGCTCATCTTGTTTCATTAATATGATGTCATTGATACAGTGGAACAATGTGACATTCTGTGGAATGTCCAGAAGGTCCATGCCCAATGTTGTGTTGGAACTGTCTCATACTGCCTCACGGATGCCATTGTTAAATGTTTTGCAAACCAGTTTGAAACAGCTGTTATTTAAAAATAAGTTATATAAACCCATATTCAAATAAGATATACTAAGAAAGAGGCAATAAATTTTTAAATTCTTTTTTTCTAGTTATTTTACTATATTTTACTATTATCTATGTTCTTGTAGCTATTTACATCTATTGTGTCTATATAATAAAAAAAACTACATAGTTTACTGTATAATGGTGTGTAACTGTGCAAATCTGCATTTTTAGTAATGTCACATTGACAGTTTAAAATTGGTCATGGTGAGCATAGTTGCACTACAAAAATCAGTAATTGCTATAAATCAAGGTTTTTTGCCTGGAGTAGCAGCACATCATTATCCATGTCGCTTTGGAAATATTGTGATGGGAGAGTTTTAACATAGTCCTAAATCAAAAATGTGAATGTAACCTATATCCATATCTTGTAAATGTAAACTGTCTCTAGTCCTCCTTCCTGATAGTATTTGAAAAGATCACATTCACTGGATCAATAGCTTTATAACGTGAGACCACGTTAATGAGGCGCAACGGCTGCAATTAGAAGTGTTTTCTGGTCAAGTTTGTAGTAGTGAGTCATCTTCCAAAATGATTTTTGTAGTGACCAGACTAGTTACTTAAATGCGAGATAAGACAGAGACAACCATCCCTGTATCCTTTAAAGGTGGCGTCAATCAACCATTTCCCTTGGATTGCAATAGTGTTCTTGATTTATTCTCTTTGTCATAAGGGGAATAGATTCAAGGCTTCCACTCAGCCTTCCCCAATACTACAGCCTTTATTCTACAAACCAAAGACCCAACATGGGGATTCTGCCAACTACCAAGTATGTGTGCTCAGGTTACACATTCAGAAGCTGAAGAAATGACTCCTGGATGGGTTCACTGACTGAGTACATGCCATTTGTTAGCTGACTACATATTTCCCACTCTAATGGAGGAGAGGCATCATGATTCAGTTACACTGTATGAGGATTAGACTAAATGCCCTGAGTACTCTTCCAGCCCCAGGGCTTTATAATTCTCTGTTACAATATGGTCCATCTCAGAGAGAATTTAACGGAAAAGAAAGAATTAAAACTTTATTAAACAGGTTGCTGAATGGATGAATCACAGACCTGGAAAGACTATCTGGATGCCTGAGCTCACTGAAGGTGGTGGGGAGGAGAGACATTTTTTTCTCCTGCTGACAGAAAGAAGCAATGAGTGACCTTTTTGACTACCACGGTGATGACTATTGCTGAAATATTTCCTCTAGATAGTCTCCAGCCCCCTTTACTGTAATTGGGGACTAATTACTTGCCTGTGGGCTGTGGAACCCTGGGTCTTAGCAAAATTAATGAGCTTTTTTTCTCTGTGGGATGGGAGTCCTGGGATATCTTTTTCTACCACCACACCATATCAACCTTACTACCTCTAGTGCTAACAGAGACTAACTTCTCCCCAGACTGAGAGGAAAGGTTGTTGACATAAAGCTCTATAGCACAAAGGTATCTCTGACCTTGCTTGACTTTCATCTTTCCTGCAGATACTGTGAGCTGTGGTTGGTGCACAGCCTCTGCAATTAGCACATTTGGGTTCAAACATCAGTTCTGGTACTCACTATATTGCACTGGGCAAGTTATTGTACTTTCTTTGCTTCAACTTCTTCATATTAGAAGGAAGATAATAATACGAAGAGTTGTGAGGGGCAATGAGAAGTGTGCTAGTAAATGTTTAACAATCAGCATCTGTTGTTGGAGGCAAACAGAACCCTAATTTGTGGTGTTTGCCCATTTCCATAGTATAAATATTCCTGTCGTGACTGATTCAAACTACCAGTGGTATAATAACTGTCTTACACAACTCCTGAAAATTTAAAAATCAAGAGACAGTATAAGCAAGCTCCAGCACATCACATATATGTGTGCTTTAAAAAACAGTAGCAATCCTTATTGTGACCAGAAACCTAATTGCTCATTCAAGAATGCTCATTTGTCTTTATTTTGTTTGCTTTTTCTTGATGTCCATGTGGAGGAAAGTCACCAGTGAAGAGTTTTGTCATGGGAATTTGATTGCTGGCAGCAGAAAAGACTTTTGATTGAGGGCAAGTAGAACTTTTGCTCTTCTCCTATGCAATATCAGTTTCTACCTGTCCTCAACATTGGCGAACCAAATTTGGAGTTAAACAGGGCCTAGAATCTTGGTCCTTATTGAGTAGGTGACCTTAGATAACTACTTATCCTCTCCATGACTATTCACTTTTTGGTGAAATTGGGAAAATATCTTCTAGGCCGGGCACAGTGGCTCACACCTATAATCTCAGCACTTTGGGAGGCCAAGGTGAAAGGATTGCCTGAGTCGGTGGGTTCAAGACCAGCCTGGGCAATTTGGTAAGACTTCATCTCTACAATAAATAAAAAATTAGCCTAGTGTGGTGGTATGTGCCTGTAGTTCCAGCTACTTGGAAGGCTGAGACGGAAGGATTGCCTGAGCCCAGCAGGCCGAACTGCAGTGGTCGTGAGCGTGCCACTGCACTACAGCCTGGGCAACAGAGTGAGACACCAACTCAAAAAAATATATATATATATCTTCTTTGTAGGGTTGCTGTGAGGACCAGATGTTCAGGGAGCTTCTCAGTCCATGCCTGGCACATAAGGAGCACTCAACAGATGGTAGCTACTAAAATCAAGGGCACATAATGATCACTGACTATCACAAACCCTTATGAAGGGAATCCCCCACAATCCCTGCCCCTGCTCCTAGCACAGTGCTGGAATTCCAGGGCTTAAGAAATGAATTAATGCATAAACCAATGAATGAATATGTCAGAAGGAAAAGAAGAAAAATGGCAAATGAAAGAAAGAGTAGGTAAGACAGAGATCAAGAGAAAAAAGGGAATGGAAGAGAGTCACTAAGGTAAATGTCATCTAAAAAGATTCAGAAGCGTGTCAGAGAAAGAAGAATGAAATATCAAAAGAACAAAGTTAGAAGTGCAGAAAATTAAGTAGGATAATAGTCGATGGATGACTAAGAAACAGGTGGCTATTGTTTAAAGTTACCTACAAAGAACTTTATGTGACAAAAAAAACAAATGAGGTGGTGACTACTAATGGACATAAAGTTTCTTTTTTGGGGCAGTGAAATGTTCTGGAAGTAAATGACACTGGTTGCACAACTTGTGGAAATACTTTAAACCACTAAAGTATATACTTCAGGTGAATTTTATGTGAAATATGTATCAAAAAGAGAAAACAAGGGATTAGTTAATTAAAAATCTTAAATGGTGATTACTAGCTGGGCACGGTGGTGTGCATCTGTAGTTCTGGCTATCTAGAAGGCTGAGGTGGAAGGATAACCTAAGCTCAGCAGGGCAAGGCTGCAGTGGCGGTGAGCCGGGCACTGCACTCCAACCTGGGTGACACGAGTGAGACTCCAACTCAAAAAAAAAAACAAAAACAAAAACAAAACTGCTGAATGAATAAATTAGTTAATTAATCCACGTTTCCCAACAGCCTCCCTTGCCCTCAACCAGGAAGTCAGAGGCACCAGTGTGAGACTCCCTCACTGCCACTAGACACTGCCTGACCCAGAGGAACAGGGGATGATGAGCAGCTGCTAGATGATGATGAGCCTGGGAAAGGGAGGCCGGGTGAGTAGAGGCAGAGGAGAAACGTCCACCTGCTGTGACTTCACAAGCACCCGGGCTGAGTTTTGATATGACAGGCTGAAATCACTGGTGTGACAGCCTCATCCCTCCAAGCTGAGACAGAAACAGACCATGGTCAACCAAAGCTTTCCAGAAGGTTTCCTCCTTCTGGGTTTCTCAGAACACCCAGGGCTAGAAAAGATTCTCTTCGTGGTTGTCTTAACTTCCTACCTCCTGACCCTGGGAGGCAACACAGTCATCATCCTGCTGTCTGTGCTGGACCCCAGGCTCCACTCCCCAATGTACTTTTTCCTCTCCAACCTCTCCTTCTTGGACCTCTGCTTCACCACGAGTTGTGTCCCCCACATGCCGATCAACCTCTGAGGCCCAAAGAAGAACATCAGCTTCCTGGGCTGCTCCATCCAACTCTTCATCTTCCTGTCCCTGGGGACCACTGAGTGCATTCTCCTGACAGTGATCGCCTTTGACCGCTATGTGGCTGTCGGCCAGCCCCTTCACTATGCCACCATCACCCACCCCCGCCTGTGCTGGCAGCTGGCTTCTGTGGCCTGGGCCATTGGGCTAGTGAAATCGGTGGTCCAGACCCTGCCTACCCTCTGTCTGCCCTTCTGCTCCCACCGGCAGGTGGATGATTTTGTCTGTGAGGTCCTAGCTCTAATTCGACTCTCTTGTGGGGACACCACCTACAATGAGATCCAGATGGCCATTGCCAGTGTCTTCATCTTGGTTGTGCCTCTCAGTCTCATCCTTGTCTCTTACGGTGCCATTGCCTGGGCAGTGCTGAGGATTAAATCTGCAAAAGGATGGAGGAAAGCTTTTGGGATCTGTTCCTCTCATCTCATTGTGGTCACCCTCTTCTACAGCTCAGTCATTGCTGTCTACCTCTAGCCCAAAAGTCCTTATGCTCAAGAAAGGGGCGAGTTCTTTGGTCTCTTCTATGCAGTGGGCACTCCTTCACTCAACGCTATCATATACACTCTGAGGAACAAGGACTTAAAGAGAGCTTTCAGGAGCTTACTGTGGAAGAATGGGGAGTGCAGGGAGAATTGAGAGAGCTGCTTAATGTGCTTTAAGATTGGGAGGAGATTCTACATGCTTTCATCAGGAAGTTTTTCTCCACCCCTCTGCTTTTCTCATGCCCATCACACCACAGTAATGCATGATAGTTATGTGTGTGAGATAGACTGAAAATAGAGTAAGCGGAGGTATATTCATACGAAACATTAGCATATGAATCAGACTTAATATTTTTCCTTTTCTCTATTTTAGGTTTAACAGTCTTCACTCCCATAATCCTGTTCCTTATTTTATCATTTCCATTTCTAACTCCCTCTTTTTTCATATTGTCCTTATTTCTTCACCTCAATTTTAATTCTACACTATCTTGTTTCTCCCTCAAGCTTTCTTCCACTTCCTTATGTCTGTTTTGCATTCTCATTCTATTTTATTCCTCTAAATAATGGCAAAAGAGAGAGGAAGCAGAAGCCCAGGTATGTTCAGAAACTCATCTAGGAACACAGTGTTAGAACAAAAATCCAGTCCTCGTGACTTCCAGTCAGGCAGTTCTCAAATGCATACTGTTGCTTTCACACTCTAATCGAATGTTCCAATGTCTTGGACCTTGAGCCTTAGAAAGAAAGTTTAATTTCTTTAGTCCTCTTTCTTCTCTTACAATGCCCACAAATCACAGGTAAATGAACAGCTCAGAAAAACAAAGAAATAATGTTCGGACTGGCAGGACGCTTTTGACATTTGGTGTCATCTACTGGCCATCGGTAGGATTGCATGTGGCATCCCAGACTCCTGGCCTGAAACCTCCATTATGAGGTATTTATACAGTGATGACGATATCCCAAGTACCATTTAAAGTACAGGTGCTTCTTGACTTATGATGGGGTCATCTCTAGACAATCCCATCATAAGCTTAAAATGCATTTAATACATCTAACTTACCAAACATCATAGCTTAGCCTAGCCTATCTTAAATGTGCTCAGAACACTTACGCGAGCCTACAGTTGAGGAAAGTCATCTAACACAAAGCCTATGTTATAATAAAGTGTTTAACATCACTTTATTGTAAAACAAAAAGTAAAATTGAATTATTGAATATAATTTATTTAATACTGTACTGAAAATGAAAAACAGATGGTCATGAGTACAGTTTCTGTTGAATGCATGTCATTTTTTTCACCATCATAAAAGTAAAAAGATGGTCAAAGTCAGTGACCATCTGTACTTTACACATGTTGGCTCATTTAATTCTTATAACAATATTATGAAGCAGATAATATTATTATCCTATTTCAGAGGTAGAAACTAAGACACAGAGTTGAAATAGCAGCTTGAAAATGTGCAAGCCAGGGTTTGAACACTGAACTGACTCCAGACTCTCTGCTCTCAGCCCTGCCTTTTGGTATAAATAATGCCTCCCCAGCCCAGGTGAGAAGCCCCAACTTCTCAGTAAACTCTGAGAAAATAATTTCAATCTAGAAATACACCTAACTTGATGCCTCCAGCCAAAGAAGTTTTGCTTTCCTGAAATAGGTTTTCAAATGCTTGGAAGCATTTCATGGGAATAAGAAACAACAGAACAAGAAACCTCTTGGGAAAAGTTTTGTTACAGTTTATTGGGTGCTTCTGGCTTAGTTCCCCAGCTAAGTTTCAGGCTCCTAGGAGGCAGAGATCAGAAATTTGCAGAAAAAAATTGGTACTCCATTTTATGAATGAATGAATGAATGAACGAATGAATCTTACTCTCCAAAAAGAATGTACAAAAGGTTCTGGTGTCCTAATCCCACAGATGCTGTCTCTCAGCTTTTCCATGACAATGGCAGCAATATCAAATTCTCTTTGGGTATATGCTGATAAAAAAAAGAAAAAGAAAACTCCTAGTTTTATTTCTAGCTAAAATGGCTTGGGTTTAACATTTACCCTGTCATCAGCACAGAACAGCAACATTAATTCTACTGTAATCCTAATCTTTACCCTAGCCAATCGTGCTAGGGTAATCGTATTGTGCTAATCGTATTGTTTCCTTGGCCTTACTATTAAACTGTACCCTAATCTTAATGTAGAATCCCCATTTCATATTTAATAACCCTGATCTCAGCCCTACAGGTAGTGTTAACCTTAATTCCACTTTTCAAATCACTTACGTAAGACCTTTTTCTCATGACCACCTCGATCCTTTTTCTTTCACTGACACCTAGAAATCTCTACTCTTCTCTCCTGTTTCTCACTCCCTACAGACAGAGACCCTAATGTTTATGTATACTAAAATAGTTTCTAGATGGGTTTTAGGGGAGATACAACAGAGAATTAAATGTAATAGACTACACGAATCTTCTTTGTTGAATAAATGGTTTAACATAGGCCTTAATGATTGACATCTTTTAACCCGAGTTCATTTAATCTCTATGTGGATCATTACCTACTGGACACGCTAGGAGAAAATACAACATAAGGTTACTCAATCAAACCCTCAAAATGTCAATGAAGACAGGGTTGGTCAGAGACATGTTTCCAGCACACAAAACAGCTATACAACTTAGATGGGGCTAATAAGGTCCACAGGAATACAGAAAAAGAACAAAGTATGCAAATATTTGGGGTGGGAGAGATCAGAGAAGTTCTCCTGGAGACTTGAACCACAACAGAGAGAACAAAATTAACAAGAAACATTTGTTAATTTACTGCTTGGAAAGGGCTGGAGGCAGGAATAAGTATACTGTGTATTAACATAGGGAAGTGTGGAGGAGTTACACCTGGAAGTAAAATGATTAAGGAGGAAAATACAGATTATTTCAGGAAGATACAGAAGCTACTGAATGGAATACAACCAGAAGAAAGGATCTCCTACAGATGTTTCAAGTCTACATGATTTAAGTCTCATGAGAACAGGCACTTACCAGCCTCCTAATATGACACTTGAGTTGGAGACATAAAAATGACGTTAAGAACCTCATGGTTCACTTCTGAAGAACTCACTAAATCATGAATAGATACACATGGGACCCAGCTCCTGTCATATCTCTGGGACCCCAGTGAAGGGAAAACCTTTCTGATTCCGCCTATGTAGAATTAATCACTCACCCTTTACAGGTAATGGAATATGCTACCTCAAAACATGCTTCTGTAGCATAAGGATTATTTTGAGATCAAGACCACTGAGAACCATCAGATGAGGAAACGTTCTAAAAACAGGACAAAAGTTTTTCTTTAAATGTAAATGTTCAGCTCTTATCAATAAAAAAGGCACCAGTTTAAAAGTTTAAATCTGCATAACAAATCTTACTATGCCACCTTTTTTACCATATTTTCCTGGTTACCTCTTCAGTAACTTACTTCCCCACCAACCATCAACCCAGAAACCCAAAATTCCTTTTCTTTTATTTAGCTTCAAACAACATGAGTTTGAAGTGCGCAGGTTGACTTATATATAATTTTTTAATAAGTACACTAAAAAATGTTTTGGAGGCTTGCAACAGTTTGAAAAAATTTGCAGACAGACCACCTAGCCTGGAAATATTGAAAAAAATTAAAGGTCACAAATGCATAAAATGTATGTAGATTCTACCATAAAATATCTGCAAATCTATTATAAAAAGTTAAAATTAGCTGGGCGTGGTGGCTCACACCTGTAATTCCAGCACTTTGGGAGACAGATGTAAGAGAATTGCCTGAGACCAGAAGTTCGAGGTCATCCTGGGCAACATGGCAAGACTTCGTCTCTATAAAAAACTTAAAAAAAAAAAAAAAAAGTAGTTCCAGCTATTTGGAAGGCTGAGGCAGAAGGGTTTCCTGAGCCCATCAGGTAAAGGCCATAGCAGTGTGATGGTGTGATTGTGCTACTGCACTCCAGCCTGGACCACAGAATGAGACTCAGGCTCAAAAAAAGAAACCAAAAAAGGATAAAATTTACAAAAACTTATACATACAAACACACACCATGCACAAAGCCATTTGAAGTCAACAAAAAAGTAAACAAAGGATGTGGAATAATAACTGCATTAAATTAGCAGTATATACTGCCCTACTGCAATTTCAAAACCACCTCCTGAAGCTATTGTGAAGTTCAAGTGCTGCAAGCATCTGGTGTGAGCAGTTTATCTCTCAGTACACTGTGTATCAAGTAAAGAGTGATCTCTCGAGATTTGTGCCTATTTTTCATCATGTTTCGTGCAATACTGTAAACCTTGAATAACACCGTGGGACCCATACAGAATGTCAACAGTGATGCCGTTAGTGCTCCCAAGAAGCAGAGAAAAGTCATGACATTAAAGACAAAGTTGAACTATTTGACATGTATTGTAGATTAAGATACACAGCTGCAGTTGCTGCCATTTGAGATGGATGATTCCGCTTGTAAACAGATGACATAAATTTATGGTATCAATACACACAGTATAATACTGTAAATGTGTTTTCTCTTCTTTGTGATTTTGATAACATTTTCTTTTCTCTAGCTTACTTTATTGTAAGAATACAGTATATAAGCTGGGTTCGGTGGCTCAGCCTGTAATCCCATGCCTTGGGAGGCTGAAGTGAGTGGATTGCCTGAGCCCGCGGTTTCAAGACCCGCCTGGGCAACTTGGTGAGATCTCATCTCTACAATAAATCAAAAAATTAGCTGGGTGTGGTAGCACGTGCCTGTAGTTCCAGCTACTTGGAAGGCTGAGGCGGAAGGATCGCCAGAGCCCAACAGGTCGAGGCTGCAGTGTCCGGGAGCAGCCACTGCACTCCAGTCTGGGCAAGAGTGAGACTCCAACTCAAAAAAAAAAAAAAAGAAAAAAAAGAATACAGTATATAATTCATATACGTGTTGTTCATGTTATTGGTAATGCTTCTAGTCAATAGTAGGTCATTAGTGGTTAAGTTTTGTGGAAGTCAAAAGATATACAGATTTTTCAACTGTGTAAAGTAGGGGACAAGGGGGTCAGCATCCCTAAGTCCAGAGTTGCTCAGGGTCATCTCTATGATCCCAAATTCTAACCACCCCTTTGGGTTACTCATCACTGGGTACTCCCATGCATATATGTGTGAAGCACAT